CCAGGACCCTGGGTTCATGACCTGAGCCAAAGGCAGCCACTTAACCAACTGAGCCACCCAGGTGCCCCTCTTTTGGCAAATCTCGATGCCTGTCCTCCAAATTCCTCTCCCTATAAGATAAAATTCCTATCTGCATATACTTCTTACCCAGTTTCTATCATAAATAATTTTTCCCTCAATTTTCTCTGTTCTTTATTTCTGAAACTTGTATTAGCTGGATATTGGATTTCATGGATTGATTATTTAATGTTATCTTTTCTTCCCTATTTCTTGGTCTGTCTTTCTGTACTTCTGTCTGGGAGATTTCTGAAACTTATCTCCTAACACTTGCATGGAATTTTTTTTAATTCCTGCTATCATATTTTTAATCTCCAATAACTCTTTGTTATTCTATTTTTCCTTTACATAGCAGCCTCTTCTTATCTGGAGAAGAAATACTTTATTTAAATAGTGGGGTTCTAAGTTTTCTTTTGCTTCCTACTGTATCTTTGTACCCTTTCTTTTTCCTATGGTTTTTGTTTGCTTTTGTTTTGATTTCTTGCTATTGTTTTTTTTCTCTTGTTCATGTAAGAAGCATTCTTCAAATGCCTGGTGGCTTTCAGCTGCTCATAATCCAGCCTCAGACACTCAGAAGCTGATTGTAAGCATGGCATGGAAGATGCAAAACTTACCAGCTAAGTAGTGACAAATATCTCACTGGCTTTTTCTTTACTCAAGAGTAAGGAGCTTTGTTTTTCTTCAATGCACCTTGCACATAAGAACTACTGGCCCAAAGATTACTTCTCTCTCTGTACATCCAGTTACAGGCTGGAACTCTGTGTACAGTCTGTCTACACTGCGGTAGGAATAGCTGTCTAAGTTCCTTTGGCTTGGACCAGCACAAGACAGCTGCTAGTTCATATGTGCCATGAAAAAGATGTATGTTCCATAAGCTTCCCCTTGGCTGACCATCTCAATATGGAAAAGTGATTCAGGTTCTTTACACAACTAATCCTCTTTCTGTGCTGCTCCCTCCTGACCTCTCAAATTTCAGCCTGTTGAACTATTTCATACATGGTAAATACCATTAGGAGAGCTGACCATCAGCCACAAGTCTGCACAGCCATTTCTCTGATCCTCACAAGAATCCTCCCCAAGAACATCAGTGACCTCATCTTTAGAGGAAGATATTGAGACCTTGACTTGGGTCTGACACCAAAGCCAATTTTGTACCATAACAGGCCCTCACTGTACCCTGTGGAATTTACTTTCGTTCTACAAAGAGAATGTGGTTTCCAGGGGGAAGGAGTACCATCATTCCGTGTGGAACTGCTAGGCAGGGTGGTAAGAGCACAGAGGGCAGACCCCAGAAGATGCTGCTTCTCCTGGTTGGCTGTCTCTTGCCTGCCATCAATGGGAAGAGCTGCCTCCACTGCTGGCCACAACTGCCTGCATTGATAGACTATGACCTGCAGATTCTTTGGGGCTCCCCAGGGCCACCCAGAGAGCTCTCCCAAAGCCTCCGCTCCCTATTCTTGAAAAGAGATTATGTCTTCTTAGAACCCTGGTATCTTGGTGAGGCACAGCCTAGACCTGAGGGATCAAGGCTGACCCCTTTACCTGGCCTGGGATCCTATACCCACCAACTGCCCTTCATCCCACATCCCATTCTCAGATCATGACCATATGGAGGAAGCAACAGCCAAATTATTCAATCACGTAGATAAAGCCATCAAGAAGTTTCGAGATGGTGAGGAAGTCCCCAGGCTTGTGTTAACAAAACCCAGCCCCCCAAGGCACTCCTAGAGGGCCTGCTGGCCTGGGTTGGGGATGTTTGGTGAAGAGTGGTGACAGACCCAGCATCTGTGTGCTCTATGCAGTTTCTGTTTAAAAAAATTGGCTTGAATTCCCAATCTTGAGTTATGTAATTGTTTCCACCTACAAAATGTGGATGATGAGGGCACACTTCTCTTCCTCCTCCACTCAGATAAACCATCGCTTCTGGAAGAGATTAATGTCCAGAAACAGGTGTTTACTGACAGGCTGAATCAGATGTCTGAGAAGCTGAAGGAGAAGGGTGAGAGGTGGAGCTGGTCCCTCCCCACCACCTAGCCCTTCGCCTCCCCCAGGACTGAAAAGAGCAGAGCCCAGTCTGCAGCCCCTCCTATGTCCCTCCCCAGGAATCCCCATCCTTGCCCACATACTGGGTGCCTGTCCATGTCTTCTCCCAGTTCCCTTTCTTGATGATACCCCAACCCTTCCTGGCTCTGTCTGCCTCCCCTAGCACCTCAGTTTCTCTACCATCTCACCTTCCTGGGCAGCCTGCAATAAGTCTTGTGGTGAGTATGCATGGGGACATGGGGGGGTGGGGGAGGGATGAGAGGTGAGAGGCACATGGCCCTGGCTAAGGCTCCTGCCCATCCCCTCTCACAGACATACACTCCACACTGGAGGTCATCAATTGTGCCAACTGCAAGACACACCTTCTTACCTGCAAAGACCCAACTCTCTGCCCAGGTCAGTGGCAACCAGCCATCCTGTCTCCAACCTGCCCCCACTCCATCCTGGGTCATTATTGTCTCTGTCTGGATTGTCTTCCTCCTCTGCCCAGCCCCAAGCTCTTCTTGCTCCCCATCCTCACCGGAGAACATAACAACTCCTGGGATTTCTTGATGCCGCATGTCCAACTTCAGAGCCATAAAGCCACCTGCCTCTAGGACAACTCCCCTGGAGGTCCCTCGGGTCCTCAAAGCAAGCATGCTTGGAAACATATTCAAACCCAACTCCCCCCACCCACAGTGTGCTCTTCCCTCATGGCCCCTCTCAGCAAATGGCCCCACACAAGCCCTAAGCCAAACCAAGAATTTCCCTTCCCCATATTCAATACATGCAATCACCAAACCAAATTGTTAAGTAATTCTTAAATGTGTTGCCATATTTTCATTGCAATATCCACCACCATTCTGCAGGCATCCTCACTTCTCACCTGGATTATGCCAGCATCTCTCAACTGGCCTCCCTGCCCCTCTTGACCACATCTTACTCAACAACCAAAGAACTTTCTCAAGGAGTAAATCTCCCTATGACACTCCCTGTTTGTAGCCCAATTGCCCCCCAGATAAAGTCCACATCTTCAGAAGGCCTTGTGTGAATAGCCCCTGCTCACCTCCCACTACCCCTGACTCCTCCCCAGCCACACTGAGTTGCTGACATGCTGTACATACAGATGACTTCATGCTTCTGTCCTTGAACATTCTGTGTCCTCTGCCTGGAGCACAGTTTTGTACTTGACCATGGGACCAAAACTGAACTCGTACTTGTTTTTCAAAGTCCAGCCAGAAATCCTATTTCTTAAGAAGGTTTCCCTGACAAGCTCCCACCCCCTGAAGCTCATCGGCCTTCCTTGTGGCTACTTTTCTCCTGATCTGTCCTCCTCTGCTTCCCCTGGACACCACACCATAATTGTTTGCTTGTCTACCTCATAGAGAGCAGGGACCATGTCTCACTTATCTCTAAATATATGCCAGGTACACAGTAGGTGCTCAGTAAGTGTTTGCAAACAAATGAGTGAGTGGACAAATAAAGGGAGGAAAGAATGTAGCCTCTCTGGGCCCGGACAGCCTTAATTGCCCCCCAAACACCTGGCTTCCCTTTTTACACCCCCCAGCCAGGACCTGGAGTACCTTCCCGTGGGTTGTGAGCCTTGGCATTATTCTGCTTCTGGCCGCCATAGCTGGAAGTGGGTGAGTGACTCTCAAGCCCTAGCATCCCCAGAGAAGACAAACCTACTCCTTGACTGACCCATCTTCACCCTGTTTCCTGGCCCAGATGGTACATTTTCTGCCACAAGAAGAGGAGGAGGGAAGCAGAAAATGAGCTGGGAATGGAGACCCCTGACAGAATGTAGGTCTCCCAAGGAGGGAAAGCTGGGGGTAGCAAGGCTGGAGGCCCTAATTCTGGCTCCCAGGGTGTGACATCCAGAGCAGAGTGGGATCAAGGCTGGCTCGGAAGGCCCCATCCCCCCTTAATGTGAGTACACACCCAGGGCCAGGGGCCCAGGACACAGTGGCAGCAAATTTCCACAAGGTGCCCTCCACCTATAGCTATCCTTGTCCTTCGGCAGACCCACTCCCCACGATGGGCCACCACACTCGCTGACATATACAGGCAATCAACATGGCCCTCCTGCTCTCTGCTCCTGGTTAGGTTCAGCCAGTAGGGGTTCAGAGAGACAGAGACAAGGGCATGCAGAAGGTCGGGATGGAAATGCCCTGCTTCTTCTCTCAGCAGGAACCGGGCAGTCCACTGGTCTGAACCAAGATCGCAGTTGCTGTCAGGAGGCTCCCTGATCTCTGAGTTCCAGTAACTGTCCCTTCCTTGACACCCTCCGACCTGGGGTGGTAGCAGTTCTGTGGCCCAAGAGACCACACTCTGTCTTGTGGTTTCCCTATGCCCATGCCTTATAAATACCTTTCATTAAAATATCTTCCCACTATTCTGATGGACTGTAGCATCTGCTTCCTGAGGGGCCTGGACAGACGCAGCTGGCACTGAGATCCTCTCCATAAGGCCCTAAAGGGGCTTGTTCCCTCTTCTCACCTTCCCTCTGCTGGCCCACCACCCTTCCCCTCCTGAAACACCCCTCTCCTACTGCTCTGGTCCCAGCAGTGGTAATTCCACCAGGCTCAGTCCAGCCTCATCTAATTTCAGCACCAGAAATGAAGGCAGAGATGACCTCGGTCCCTGTGTCCAGGTATTGAACAGAGGCAGTAAGAGGCCAGCTCATGGCTCAGGGACTAGCAGAAGAACAGGCTTCAGAAAACAGGCTCCAAGTCACATTAACATCAAACCTCCCCCACATCCTGGCCAAAATACCCACCCTGGGAACACCCAGGTCCCCAGTGGATCTGGTGCTGCTAGCAATGTTTCCCTGACTCTGCCTGTGGTAGTGGGGCAGAGGGGTGCCGAGGGAAGGGGCTTTGCCTCCTTCTCTTCCATCCCCATGTCCCTTTCCTTGTCTGCCCCAAGGCTGCCAGATTAAATGGAACCTCTGAGTCCTCCAGGCACAGCTCTGCCCTTTCCCCTCAACCTTGTGCCCTTCCTCACTGGTGCTCCCAGCCTCTCATTCTTGGCTCAGGCTCTACTCTGAGACTAAACAAGACTTATCTGGCAACTTTGAAGCCACTGCCAGGCCCAGAGCCCTGGCCAGCAGGTCAACTCCTAGGTGTTGAAAGGAAGCAGGTCTAGGACCAGAGCTAAGGACAACGACCCAGAACTTGGACTCGAGTCCTGTCTCTGATGCTAAGGTTCTGGGGTCCCCCTTCTACATCTGTTCCCCCATCTGAGCATGCAGGGAGGATGTCATGCTTCAGCCAGGTTGGTGTGTCCCAACCATGGAGCCCACTGGATTCATAATTGCCATCCTACATTTGCTCATGTTTTGGGTCAAAATGTAATGCCCTCATCCCTTTCCCTCACTCCCAGCCCATTGAAATCCTGCCAGGACCCATAGCCCAGCTCCTGAAACAAGCTGTCTTGTCTCCATTGGCCTTGTTGGTGCCCCTCTTCCAGAGCTAGTGCCCAGGCTGGAAGTAACCTGACTCCAGTAGCACCATCCCACCGTAAGGGCCACTCCTTTGGCAGGAGTGGGGGAACTGTAAGAGACCAAGGCAAGATGTATATAGACCATAAATGGCAATCAGGACAGGCAGCCCGACAGCTGAGAGTAGCTGTGGGTCCCCAGCCATAAGCACCTCCAACCCCCAGCCAGGGGGATCCAAGAAGGCCCCCGCTAAGGTGGTATCTTCAACGATGAGAAGCCATGGAAGGTGAGAAGGGAAGGAGAAGTATTTTCACTGAGAGTGCAGTGTTACAGAGGAGCAGAGGTACGAGAGGCTTTGATAAGTTCAGACAACTCCAAGAAACGTGATATGGCTGAAAGGAGAGGTCCAGGTAAGAGGGCCATGAGAGGTGGGGCCCACAGAGGCACCCAGGCCCAAAGGGAGCTAAAACAGGTGAGCAAGGAGGGCTAGGGGGAAGTAGTGGAGGGCTTTGCCAGTGGCAGGTCTGAGTCCTAGGGAGAGGACAAGGATCCAGAGAGGTGAAGGGGAGCTGTGCCCAAGTATATGTGGCTCCATGTGCTAGGAGATGAGATGGTTCCCTCCATCCAGCTCCACAGACCCTCCCTGCTCACAAAGCTGAGAAAGGGTCCATAGATGTGAGGCTTTTGGAGAAAGCATAAAGACATAGCTACAGCCAAATGGTAAGGGTGTCCTCATAACCATTCTGAATGACTGAGCCAGGGCCCCAGGCAGTAGTAATGGACCTCCAGGAAACTGTGATTCTGTGTGTCTATGAAAACTGGTTGCCACCTAGGACAGGGGAAAAGCCAGGCTTTCATTATGGTGATATTGTTTTCCTATTTATATTTAAATTGGGATTTAAACCATTACTTCAAAGGTATCCAGAGCAACTATTTTCTGATGCATGCATTGAAAATAGAAAATCCTGGGTATAATTTATTAGTTTGTGTGTCTGTATGTGTATATCTCTTATCAACAGATTTTTTTTATTATTATTTGAGGGGATATTTGCATGAAAAGTAGATATTGAGTTCTGCTACAGTAGAATAAGGAATTTTGAGTCAGGTAAATCTTGTTCAAAATATAAGCTCTGGAGGACTTTATGCTTCCAGCTATGAGAGAGCAGCTTATAGCACACCAACACTATCATCAAGAGCAACTAAAAATAAAATACATCAAAAGAGCAAAACAAAACAAAAAGTCTGTTTAAGGCACCAGGGCCCTAATGCATCCAAGTTCCCAGGGTAAAGTAGAGCTCTCTGTGGTGAGCCCTTGTCCTGCAATGAGCTTCCCCTTGGCACTTCTGGGCTTCAGCAACACAGGTTGAGAGGCTTGGGGGGCTGTCCTGCAGATGCCTGCAAAGTGTGGAGAAGCCAACGAGCTTTTTTTTTTTAATTTTATTTTATTATGTTATGTTAGTCACCATACAGCACAGAAAAGGAAACAGTCAACAAAACAAAGAGGCAACCCACAGAATGGGAGAAGATTTTTGCAAATGACACTACAAAGGGCTGATATCCAAAATCTATAAAAAATTTCTCAAACTCAACACCCAAAAAACAAAAAATCAAGTCAATAAATGGGCAGAACACATGAACAAACACTTCTCAAAAGAAGACATACAAATGGCTAACAGACACATGAAAAATGTTCATCATCATTAGCCATCAGGGAAATTCAAGCCAACAGAGCTTTTAGCAATATAATGGGCTAAAGAGACAAAACATGGAGTTCTACTTTGCCAAGATAGAATGTGAGAGGTCCAGATCCGTGAAAGTACAGAGGTGCAGAAAAGGCAAACAAATACATTGTATCTGTTTGTCCCCATCCTCCCAAGAGCATTCCTGTTCTTAACCAGCACAGGCCCAAAGACAAAGAAATCAAACAGAAAAGATCTTAAATGCAATTTATCAGAGATTTGTCTGCTAGGGAAATAAAAATTGGAGTTACAGACCCACATAGGAGGACAAGTTTTAATAAATAGTCCAAGGTATTAGTTGGTGATAGCCTAGTACACCAGAGGCAGACCAATCCTTTCAAAGCATGGAGCTCAGCCTCTGACAAAATCAAAGAGACCTATTCTTATTTTATATCATTGCTGGAGGATAGAGTAAATATCTTTTAAAGGAAAATAGTATCATCTAAAGCCACTACCATGTTTCATTTACAATTTCCAATATTCAAACAAATATTAACAAACATACCAAAGATAGAATCAAGAGAAAAATCAAACAATAGAAACAAACCTACAAATGATCCAGATATCAGAGTTATCTGATATAAATTTTAAAATAATCCCAAAAGTATTCTTTGCAGCTTTATTGAGATAAAATTGACATATAACATTGTGTTAGTTTAAGGGGGTATAAAGTGTTGATTTGAACTACTTACAAAATTGCAAAATGATTACCACCATAGCACTAACTACCATCTCCATCATATCACATAATTACCATCTTTCTTTTTTCTGGTGAGAATATTTAAGATTTGCTCTCTTAGGAACTGTCAACTATATAATACAATATTATTAACTATCACCATGCTGTACATTAGATCTCCAGAACTTATTTGTATTATAACTAGAGGTTTGTACCCTTTGAGCAATATCTCCCCATTTCCCCCACCCACCCCCAAACCCTAGAAACCACCATTCTATTCTGTTTCTATAAGTTTGGCTTTTTTAGATTCCACACGTAAGTAATATCATACAATGTTTGTCTTTCTCTGTCTGACTTATTTCCTTTAGCATAAAGCCCTCAAGACTCATCCATGTTGTTGAAAATGGCAGAATTTCCTTCTTTCTCATGGCTGAATAACATGAATATTCATGATATTTTATATATATTATATTATTAATTATAAGAAAATGTAATATATATGTATATGTGTGTGTGTGTGTGTGTGTATATATATATATATATGTATATATATATATATATCCATTACCCATTTATCTATTCATCTGTTGACAGACATTTAGGTTGATTCCATGTATTGGCTACTCTGAATAATGCTGCAATGAACAGGGACTGCAGATATCTTCTCAAGAGTTTGTCTTCTGGGGGCACCTGGGTGATTCAGTCAGTTAAGCGTCTGCCTTTGGCTCAGGTCATGATCCCAGGACTCTGGTATCGAGTCCTGCATCTGGCTTTCTGCTCAGTGGGGAGCATACTTCTCCCTCCCCACCCTGTTCATTTTCTCTCTCTCTCTCTCTGAAATAGATAAAATCTTTTTTTTAAGAGTTTGTTTTTCATTCCCTTTGGATATATACTCAACTCCAAAGTTTCTGTTTGGTTCTTTTATGTTTTTATGTATCTTTGTAGAA